GTTCTATTAAGTGAGTAATAAGATAGTATAAGTAATATCAGAATGTGTTTTAACTGTAAGATACTGTAAGAAGCTTATATTATATTAATATCACTGAACTGTGAAATCAGTCTCTTTCTTAGATATTGAGAAATTATTAATACAGAATTCATTCTTCATCAGTGTTCTCATAACAGCTGTATTATTAAGATAGAAATCTTCAATAAGATATTTAATATATTAATAATATATCAAATTAATCTCTTTGTCAGAATAATTGACTTTCATACTTAAATACTTAATTAATTGATATAGATTCTTGACTTTCAATTTCTCACTGAGTATACTCACTAGCTAATCAGCATTCTCAGAAACTTCAGATATGATGTTAAGAGTATTAATATAGATTATTATATAGAGATGATATCTGAATATATAATATCAGAGTATCAGATTATAGACACTGACTGTAAATTCAAAATCACTCAATAGAGCTATTAAGTAATCATATCAGATCTTCACTGCAGAGTTCAGACTATATAGACTATTCTTAATTATATAGATAAGTGTTTTCAGTGAATCTGTCTCAAATTCAGTGAGTTATCTTATATAGATCTTCTTAGTAAGACACTTATACAGATATATTATTATTATATTCACTTAACAGAGTATTCAACTGTGTAGTACTGCTATTGTAAAAAGAATACAATTGATAGTATTAGTGATAACAGCAGTATAGATCTCTTCTCTAGAATTCTTCTTAAGTCAGTTATTATAAATCACTTAATGTGATTTTCTAAAACTATTATCAGAATCAGTATTCAGATCTACAGATCTATCTTTCTTAAGAAATACTTAATAGCTTAGAGTAATTGATTCATTCTTTAGAATATCAGATCTAGAGATTAAACTTCATATATTGTATCTCTTCAGATCAGTAATCTTATATTGTATAGACTTCTTTTAATAATCTTCTATTCTCTCTGACTGAGATGTGATATTCTTGTAGAACTTTGAGAGGTTATCTGTAACAGAGCTCAGAGTATATATAGTCAATAATTTCACAGGCTGCAATCATGTAGAATTCAGATTATCAATATCAGAAGTATCTTTATCATTAATCAGATAAATGCCAGATTTCAGTTCAGTAATATGACTAACAAGTGTCACAGATATAATAACTGATTTCAATTTTACAGTAATTGAGAACCTCATATCACTACTGACAATAATCTTGTCAGATTTGAGATTTCATAGATGATAGATTAATATGTCACTGAATTCAATAATATAATAGAAATTGATATAAGAAAAAAGCTTATTCACAGATCTCTGAGATTCATATAAGTGAATAAAGATCTCTGTACTTAATCAGTGAAAATGTCTCATATTCAGCAGAGTGTTCATAAGTGCATATCAAGAAATCTTATATGAACTTAAAATCATAGAAGTCTCTGTAGTAGAGGATTAAAATTTCAAGTTATAAAGAACTATAGATATAAGAGTATTATTAATTATTATAATCACTGTCTCTAGAACATCTGTTCAGAACTTCTTAGAGAGATTATCTTTTAAAAGAGCAGCTCTAATCTATCTTATAATAATGCAGATCTTATGCTTGAAAACACTATTCTGATATAATAAATATGATATTATTAATTCTTATTTAATATCATACAAATTCATGACTGTGTGTATATATATGAATTGAAAAACATTATCAATATCAGTCTGTAGAAAAGCAGAAACTGTATATCTAAGATTATTCATGAATCTGAGTCATAACTCAAAGTATTGAACAGTCTCTTTCTTGAACTTTGAAAAATATACTCAACAGTAGTGAGTTGTATTACAGATAATAAGTATTCAGTATTTAATTCTCTGATAGAACTCTAAGAGAGGATCAGAGAAGTCTTTCAATGTATATTCACTATTTACAAGATTAATATAAATCTTCTCAATGAATTGAATAGATCTAGATATCAGTGTTTTTAAATAATCTCATATCATATCTGTTATAATATATTTCTTATAAAAGAACTTTGTCTTAGAATCTTTAATTATAACTTTAGTATAAGAATTCTGAATAATAGTAATTATAGTATTAGTGTGAATATGACTGAGATTATAATATTAATTTAAAAGAGTCTTTGATATCTTTGATATCTGTGTTTTTATATCTGCAGAATTAATGTTATTAACAGTAGTAATAATAGTTATAGAAAAATTAACTTTTCAGTTAAAATCATACTCATAAGATATTGTAATATATCTAACTGTCTTACTCTGATAATTAAGATTCTTATTAAACTTCTATTCAGTGACTCTATATATATTATTATAAATAGACTGAACTGTATAAAAAATAATGTTATTCAGAGCTCTGTAAATAAAAAATAAGAGAATAGTAAAAGATAATATAAATCAGAATCTCTGATCTTCAAGCTTTATAAATGAGAGTAGATTAACTATAATATTAGAAATATAGTAAATATTCTATAAATTAATATTATTACTCTCAATCTTTAAGATAATAGTTTTAATTTTCTTGATAAACTCAGTTTTCTCAGTTACAGAATTGACAGAGATATTATTATTAAAAGATTTAATATTTAAAAAAGAATAAAGCTCATTCATTATATTCAGACTTATATATATATTCAAATATCAAGATCTAGAGAATGATTTTCTGATAACTGTGAAAGAGAAATAGAACTCAATCTTTATAATTACTGTATTTACTACTAATTAAGAACTTATTAAGTCATTCTTCTTCTCTTTCTTTTTATTATTATTCTTCTTATTCATCTTCTTTTTCTTTTTATCAGAGTGTAAGATAAAACACCTATTAATAGTATATTCATATCTTTTACAGCAAGTGTACTTTTATACAGTTATACTTTTATTCTTATCTTTATTCTTTTTCACAGTCACAGAATCAGTCTGAGACTGCTTTTTTCACTCAGTGATAATCTTCTTAAATATATGATTGATCAGTTGCTTTATTAAATTATTAATATTAATATTAATAATGAGTTCTTGATTAGTGAAGAAAAACTCATTCAGATATATCTTAATAAATAATTTTTAGTAATCTTATAGATTGTTAAGAAAAAGATTATAATATATATCTTCAGTACTCTGACAGAGCTCTCTATAATAGATAATAAGATAATAGAAATATCTCTGAAAAGTAAGATAATTACTATTCTTAATTTATAATTTTATTAATTTCTTAAAGATATTAACTCATTCTTCAGCTAGTGATATTATATATTTAATATTAATCTTATCTTATAGAACTGTAGTATTATCAGCTTCTAAGATTTTAATAGTAGTTTAAATATTTTTAATAAGACTTGATAGTATACATCTATATAGAGACTTAAAATAAATCTTTCACTTCTCAGAATTAATATAGTATATAAAAGAAAATTCTTATTAAGTTTTTAATAGAATATCAGTTTTATTAATAACTTCTATATCAGTTAATATATTAATATATCAGACTTTATAATTAGAGCTATTAAATATAATCACTGATTTAATATCTAGTATATATTTAACTTTCTTCTGATATTCTTATAACTTATCTCTTATAGTATCTCTTTATATAGAGATAGATATAGTAAGATATTATATAATATCAGCTATAGCTATTTAATTTCAGAGTATTATCTGTATAAGATTTATAAGATTATCTACAGTGTAATAGATAGATTAATTCAGATTATTATTAAAAGTCATTATTTTAAAAGTAAAAGATAGTGAAGAATTTAATAAGTTGAAATAAACAGATTTTATAAATAGATATTAACTCTGTTTTCTCTTATTCTGAAGCTTCTTTATTATTTCATTATTAAATTTCATACTCTGATAAAAACTGATATCAGTTTTATCTTATAACTCAGAAACTTTCTTATAATAAGTAATTATTCTATTAATAAGTTATCTAATAGAGTGAGTGATTCTAGATCTTGAGTTAAACTCTGAAGTAATAGATATATTACTTATATTAAGATAACTCTGTTTCTTCTAAATATATAAAAAGAAAAAAAAGATATTCTTTACAATGAAGAATATACTTTTTAAAAGTTAAAAGTATATAAATCTACTAACTGATAAATTTAGAGAAAATAAAATATCTTTAATAAAAAGTAAGAGTCTTTTTAAAAAAAAGTGAACTACTCTTATTAAAAATATTAATATAATATTTTAAAAAGAAAAATATATCATTGAGACTATAATCTATAGAATAGTTAAAGATTGTATTAATAGATCTATCTATAAGAACATAATATAGTGGTGGGTCACATGATCTGGTGGGATCACTAACCGCAACGGCCGTAACGGCCAACAGGTTAATCATTAACATAGTGGTTAGTCACGTGATCTGGGGAGATCGCCACAGGCAATAGGCCGCAGCGGTCAACAATTACTATATATGATTTAGTTAGTCTTAGGCTTTTCAGACTATGAGCTCCACCTCACAGATCTCTCAATATATACTCTGTAATTCTCTTGGTTGTATAGAGCCTTTGCAATGAAGTCCTTCAGGTACCGTGTATAATAGATTATAGAGTTTCCCTTGTGTTAGAGCCCCTGAGTTTAGAGGCTCTCTGAGTAGAGACCCTCTGTGTATAGAGCCTCCGGGTATAGAGACCCGCATGAAGACCTTTGGATATAGATTTTCTCTGACGACTGTAGAGACTGTCTCAGATCAAGAGCCCTCCACTGATGTGAGTCATTGTTTCATACAACCTCCAATGAAGAGATCTTGATTGCTAATACAATCAGTATCATTAATGTGTGCTCATTGTAACACTAGTATAAAATACCCTTTGACGCATTTGTCACTATAGACTGCCGTACTTAGCTCTGACACCAAGAACTCTCAAAACCCGCTCCTGCTCTTGTGCCCAAGAACCCCCCAAAGCTTCCAGACAAATCGCCCTCCCCGTGTCGTAGCTTGCATTTCTCCCCCCAACCATTCAACGGGTTCTACGCACCTTATCTCGTGAATTGAGCCTTGGTGTCATATGTTTTGAGCAATGACTTTGAGCTTCGCTGTAAGTAGCCCTTCTCTCAGTTGTGTTTGTGTCCTATATATATTCCGGGTGGATCTCCCCACTTCTCTGTTGGACCGGACCCACGCAAACTACTAGAGTATACACTATATTTCTTCTACCAACTATGGCGGAAAGAAAGAAGCCTCCTACTAATGCTACTAATGCTCGCAATTGGCGTATGCCACAGAAACCACCGTTCACCGTAGATGCCCCGGGCTACGAGCCTGTCGAGGGAGAAACTATCCCTCGTCGAAATGTAAACTACAAGGATCAATTGCTAGTCAGGCCGGAGGACTCAATCAATACCGTCTATGATATCGTCAAGCGTGGTGCTGCGAAGTTCGGAAATGCAAAATGCATGGGCTCGCGAGAGCTACTACGCGTGCACAAGGAAAACAAGAAGGTCAAGAAAATGGTGAACGGACAAGAGCAAGAGGTGAACAAGGAGTGGTCATACTTTGAACTAAGCGGCTACAATTTCATTAGCTTCAACGAGTATGAGAAGCTGACCCTACAAATCGGAGCTGGTCTGAGGAAGCTTCGCTTGGCCAAGGGGGATAGACTACACCTATATGCAGGTACAAGGTAGGGAAAACATACCCCCCATCTGTTTGGCATTTTCCACATCCGCCCGCCTTCCCTGCTACTTACTTCCTATGCTAACATCCTCTTTCTGCTAGTGATCGTTGGCTTGCTACCGCTCATGGCGCGATTTCACAGTCCATGTCCATTGTCACTTCATATGACACCCTTGGCGAGGAAGGACTGCGGCATTCAGTACTGGAAGCCCGTTCCAAGGCTCTGTTTACAGACCCACAGCTTCTGGGTTCACTCGTCAATCTGCTGGTAGATACTCAATGTATCAAAGTAATTATCTACAACAATAACCTCTTGCTCCAAGAGGAGACGCTGAATTCACTGAAATCTGCACACCCTGGTGTGACTCTGATTAGTTTCCAGGAGCTCAGGAAACTTGGAGAGGATAACCCCATCGACCCTGTGCCTCCAGATGCGGAAGACATGGGAATGATCATGTACACTTCAGGAGCCACGGGGCCTCCAAAGGGCGTACCCCTGAAACACAAACATGTTGTTGCTGCAGGTATGAATGACAACCCTAAATAAAATTGCAAAACAGACTAACACCAGGCATCTCTACTAACTCATTTGTGGCGCAATAGTTGCCGGAGTCAATTCGTTACTCGGAAACCATATTAACCCCAGTGATATTGTATTGACGTTCCTCCCCTTGGCGCATATTTTTGAATTTGTATTCGAACATTCAGCGCTGTTCTGGGGCATTCCAATGGGTTACGGACACCCCAGAACACTCGTAGATATATCAACCCGTAATTGCAAGGGCGACATCCGGGAACTCAGACCAACCTTGATGGTCGGTGTGCCAGCTGTGTGGGAAACTATGAGAAAGGGCGTCGTTTCAAAAGTTGAACAAGCTGGGGTAATCTCGAAGAACCTCTTCTGGACAGCATTTTACCTCAAACGCGCGCTCACAAATCGCCAGTTTGGCGGATCGGATATCTTGAACTCTATAGTCTTCAAAAAGATCATTGAAGCCACCGGGGGCAGGCTCAGATTCGTTATGAATGGTGCTGGCCCAATTTCTAAGGAGACGCAAGAGTTTATCTCCTTGGTTATAGCTCCCATGGTTATCGGATATGGTTTAACCGAAACATGCGCGTAAGATTCACAAATTATCCACAGATTTTGTTTCACAAAGGAGAGGAAAAATTTATAGCTAACAGGACAAAATCACAGTATGACGTCCGTTTCTGATCCTTGGGGATGGCGCTACGAGACTCTGGGCGATATTCCTGGCTGCGTTGAGATCAAACTGGTTGATTTTCCGGAAGCTGGGTATTTCACCAAGTCCACACCACCACAAGGGGAGATCTGGATTCGAGGGAATAGCGTCATGGAAGGGTACTATGAAAATGAGACCCTCACAGCCGAAGTCATGACAGCGGATGGCTGGTTTAAATCAGGTGATATTGGGCAATGGGATGAAAATGGCCACCTCCGGGTCATTGACCGGAAGAAGAGCCTGGTGAAGACTCTGAACGGGGAATATATTGCACTGGAGAAGGTAGGTTGGGGTTTCTTTGCATAGTATCTCCTTGTCATAAGTTCTTTCTGTTAACATGACGCGTTGCGTATAGCTTGAATCAGTATACCGGTCCTCAAGCGTAGTGGGAAACATCTGCATATATGCAGCGCCCGATAAAGCCAAAGCGATTGCCCTAGTGGTCCCCATCGAACAGACGCTAAAAAATATAGCTGCTGAGAACGGCATCAAGAAACAGGATCTCGGAGAGTTGGTGCATGATAATAAGCTTCGAGATATCGTGCTGCAGGATATGCAAACGATCGGGCGGAAGGCGGGCCTTGCTGGGCTGGAGATCATTGAGGGGCTTGTTCTAGTGGAGGAACCCTGGACGCCGCAGAATGTAAGCGACTCCTCATCCTGGATTATTTTATTGTATTTTATTTTCTTCGGATTTGATGCACACCGGCTAACGCGTGTTTTTAAAATTTTTCCAGGGTCTCACGACAGCGACGGAGAAACTGAACAGAAAAGGTATTCATAATAAGTACAGGACTGAAATTGAACAAGCGTATGGACAGAATTAAGAACGAGGAAAATTCGAGTTTTTTCTTCTGACAGTGGTGTTCATTGCACGGTTATATAACAATTCTTTCGAGGAGAGGTAATTGAGACGTGGGTTTGTACTGTTGGCCGTTACGGCCGTTGCGGTTAGCGATCCCACCAGATCACATGACCCACCACTATATTATGTTCTTGTAGATAGATCTATCAATACAATCTTCAACTATTCTACACATTATAGTCTGAATAGTCGCTTCCCATGCCCTTCACCCTACCTAGGAGAATGCAAAGAATAATGTGTAACATTCCCAACGTCTAATGCAGCGAATGAAGTTATGCAGGGAAGCGCACTGCATTGCTCAAACGTTGCGACAAATCCAAC